GAGATCCTGAGGACAATTTTAGCGTACTATTAAAATTTTAAGGGGTGGGGCTCAAAAGCATGACGCTCGAATAATGGAGCATGATATACGTGACCCTATAAATGGAGACCAGATCGTTCTTTGGTGAACACAGTTTTTTCCTTTTTTTTTTTTTGGAAAATTGAGTAGCCCAAACTGCATGTCCACACGAGGAACAACCACTGTCAGCAGGGCGGTTGAGACAACAGTGCCGTGAAGCAAATGGAAAAACTAGTTTCAAAGGGGGGAGGGGGGGGGTCTCCAAAGAGGTCAGGAGTTAAAATAAAGATGAACACCATAAGAACTGTAAGAAATTCGAATTCTTCTTATTTCTAAATTCTAAAATCAATCTCGCTTAAGTTTCCACGATGGGTCAACTGCTCAAGTCGTATGAGAATTCTGTAACAGAACCAGAATCGTCCACGATGCTGTAAGATCTACATGCTGTACTAGTGCCACTCTCTTTATCAACTAGCGGTTTGATCAAATGTTCGCCGGCCTTTTCTTCTTCCAATAGGGAATATTTTCCTTCCAGTCTTTCATCGCACGTGATGTTCTCTAGCCTTTGCCACCTTCTTGGAGGCCACACAATGCGAGTTGCTTTTCCTTGAATTAATCCAACAGCCACCTGACAAAAAATATAACTCAAGTTATCGAAAGTGAAGTCTGGAAAAGGTAAAACAAATATAAATCAAGTTAATTGTGGTTATTTATTGTGGTGAATTGACCAGTATTGAAGCATTATCATTTGCCTCAGGATGGCCCAGTTCAACTTTAAAGCTGGTTCAAATGTGGACCCGTATAAACAAGAACAAGGCTGGACTACAACACCGGGAGCTACGTTCGCTACTCTTTGCGAAAAGTGCGTGGATTCTTTAATGTCCCCTGCTAACCAATGCAAAGAAGATGCAGGAGACGGGGCCTGCAGTTTATCTTCCTTATCCGAGAAGATCAGGGTGTCTAACCATCTGCAAATGTTAAAACAAAGGCCGCACATTCTTTTCAGTTATTTTTAGTCCAGCCTGGGGCTTGAACCCTAGAGCTCCCACACGGCAGTCCGACGCTATGCAACAACATGAGCTAACCGAGCGCAGTCATAACCGATGGATCGCGACGTTTCGACCACATGCTGACAGTCTTTCTTTAGGCGATAAAATTGAGTGCATATGCGTTACCTCATCCCCTGAAGAAAACAAGTTGCCCCAGTGGAAGATGGATAAATTGTCCTACTTTCAATCGATACTTGAAGTTTGAAACCGCCGAACGAGGAATTCGAAAACACATGAACTTTGAAACATTTTCCATCTCAAAGAACTCAATAAAATAAAACAAAGGTCATATTTGAAAACGCTTGGTTAATGTAGAGCAAAACGAGTTCAAAATGGAAAGACTCAACTCTACTGATGATTTCTGATGGGGTTTTCAAAGGAAAGAGCCACTTACAAAATCATTCAAGATGCACAAAAATGCAACGTTCAGCGCTTCAAAACGTGATTATGAAACAACGTAATCCTCACAGTAGCACACTGTAAAAACCCAGTGGGCTCTTGGTCTTGAAGCAAGTCAATAACTCTATAAAAACCCCTCTAGAAGCTTGATGGATCCGAGTAAACAGCAAAATAGAACAATAGAATAGAACAATAGAACAAACAACAACAACAACAACAACAACATACAGCCAAGGATAGAATGATCATAAACAGAACTCACCGGTCCAAAAGAATTGCTGTCGTGACTATGAGCATGATTATCGCCTTCCACCCAACAATGCCCTCTTGGAATTTTCACGATCTTCTTTTTGTAGTTAATGCTTCTATAAAACAGAGAAACAGGATTTACTGCTATGACCAACAAACTACCTGATATAATGGAAGGTCACAGTGGTTGTGTACATGTCATTTAGCAAAATTTAAAGACGCCAGTCAAACCAGAAACCAGATAGTTAGGATATCAGTGGTCAGCAAACAAGCACTCGTTAGGAGTACCGGGACTCAACACTAACTTTTCAACTTATTAGCCAAGTGGCTGGTGACAACTTAGATGTTACAACAATTTCAGCCAAACTGGCTAGAGGAAATTCAAAACCACCAGCCAAAACTGAATTTCTACTAGTTTATGGCTAGTTGGTTACCGTTATAATGTCCAGCCCCGAGCACTGCAGGATTCACATTTTTCCACCTGCACGAAAATTTAAAGCGAGTCAGGGAAAGTTTGCCAGGGGTCTACCACTAATAATGAAGTGATACATATATCTTATTAACCAAGCGCGAAGGCCGTACTGGGAGAATATCGGCCCGAGGTCTTGACAGTACGGACCGAGTGCAGCGAGGTCCGTACAAAAAAGACAGAGGGCCGATATTCTTCCAGTACGGTCCCGAGCAAGCTTGGTTAATAAGAGATTTATTANCTCAACCAATCAGATTGCTGGAAACTCTTTGCTCAGCTCTGAAATTATACTAATAAAAGATATAAAGATACAGTCATAACTAGCTAGTGTACTCTAAAAATGTTTGTTACATTTGTATAACAAGCATAGGGATACAATTATTATTTGTAATTATTATACATTGTAAAGAAGTTAAAAACATGTTTGACCCAAATTCACTTTATTTTCATTAACTAAAACAAATATATTGGAACTAATTTGAACTCTGGCCTAGGTGGGGCTGGTGGACTTGGACATTTGTGGACCAAGTGTACCCAAGCTAATGGCTGTTGAAGAACAACAAGTCATTAACTCACCATATGGATGGACACCTATGAAGTAAGAATATGAATACACACCTCTAATAGAGTTTGAGGTTGGTACTGTAAGATAACGACCCAAGTTTTTATGGCTTGAGGCACCTATGCCAAAAATTCAAGCGCATAAAATGAGGTTCTGTAGTTTACAGTACTGACCAAGAAAACAAGCTTGGTAGGATTTTTATTTCATCTCTGTGTTCAAACCAAGGGAGAAGATTTCAAGTTTTACATATAACAAACTTATGAATTTAGCCGGTCGTAAGCTAAAATGGACCAGTCATACCACACATACTATGAGATACAATAAAATACAACACAGTACACATTACAATGCAACACAAAACAACTCAAGAAAAGGTAGAGATTATTGCATGGAAACTGCACACAATTTTTAATAATGAATTGCAATGTATCAAAAAAGCAAAGATGTAAGTGCATTGAATGAGTGAGTTTTTTTTATGCCTCACAATGAGTAAATTAAAAATCATTCATTAATTTCCATGGTATGATGTTTATATTTCATACATACCGAGATTTTTTCTTACTGACTGACACATTTCAAAGGTTGGAGGCAAATGACTGTGAAAATACATTATTAGTTTCTAAGAGACACGAATGATAGTGCTTCGCAGTGTAAATCTCAGTATGTATGAAAAAAAAGACGACACAATAGAAGAGAGTAGAGTTAATACAATACAGTAAATAACAATAAAGTTGACATTATTGGTAACTCCCTCTCGGTGGATGCCTTTTTCAATTGTTCCAAAGGTTTTTAATTGATAATTACCCACCTTGCAGCCCCC